CATGGTGACCATGTGAGAAGAAGGCTTGGGGAGAAACTTCAGAGTTTACTTCACATTTCCACAGGCCAAGCCTGGACTTCAGTGGAACGTGGCCATGAGTTTAGATTGCAGAGAAGAGAAGCTCTGTAGCGGATCTCGCTCCACCTGAGAGGGGTACAAAGCAGGACTCATGGCTGGGAGCTGGGACAAGTTCCAGTACTTGCCAGTCATTCTTGTTGGGCAAGGCATCCTTTCTAAACCTCAGTTTCTTTCTCTGTAAACCGGGATGAAGAATAGGAATCAAAATTCAGGATGTGCCAGGCAGTGGTGGCGCACGCCTTTAATCCCAGCACTTGGGAGGCAGAGGCAGGTGGATTTCTGAGTTTGAGGCCAGCCTGGTCTACAGCGTGAGTTCTAGGACAGCCAGGGCTACACAGAGAAACCCTGTCTCGAAAAACAAACAAACAAACAAACAAACAAACACACCGCAGGATGTTTGCAAATGGTAGAAGGTTTCTCAAAATAGTACAAAATTCCTTATTAGATCAAAGTGGTGTAAAGAGGGCTTGATCTTGCTTTACTCTTGTTTTCTGTCTTCCTCATGGCCTTCCTCTGCTCTCTCTCTCTCTCTCTCTCTCACACACACACACACACACTCACACAAACACATGCGTGCAAATAAAAATACGAACACACATGAACACACATGCGTGCAAATAAAAATACACACATACACAAACACACATGAACACACATGCATGCAAATAAGAATACACATATACACACATACACACGAACACACACAAACACACACATGTACGCAAATATAAATACACACATGCACGGGCACATACACACACGAACACACACATGTGTGTGCAAATAAAAATGCACACATACATACACACACATGCATGCACAAATACACATACACACAAATACATATACCACAAGACACCCCTACAGCATCCTAGGTGACTTACTAAAACTCCACTTTGTATGCATTCTTCCACTGGGCCCCACACATAACTATATACACAGAAGCTAAAAAAAAAATACTTGGGTTTGAATTTGAGCCTAAGATATGCTCACCAAGTCCTTTTTGCACCAGACTAGGGATGGGGCAGACAACTGCATCAGGACCAAGTCATCCTGATTTAAGGGTACACCTTAGGGTTCCCAGTAACTTTGGATTCTTCAAGGATAGGGACAGTCACTCCCACACTGGAGGTGTACATTGAATGTAAGATCCGTTCTTGTCTTAGTGATGAGACATTGTGATCATCTCAGAGCCCTGGTCAAAGGAAAACTTTATATGTGGGCCCCGGATTGGGCTGAGCAGCCAGAAGGACCCGTCAGTGCAGTGGGGTGAGACCTTAAAAGGCTTGTAGAGTCTGGGCCAGGGAGGTGGTGTCTAGCCTGGGCCAGGGAGGTGGTGTCTAGCCTGGGCTAGGGAGGTAGTGTCTAGCCTGGGCCAGGGAGGTGGTGTCTAGCAGGGATTGATTCAGGACTGTGGAGCTGATGGAGCTGCCTTGGAAGAAGAGACTTCAAAACTGTAGGGAAGAACTTGAGCTAGCCCCAGCTACACCTGGCTTTGATGCACAGGCTAGCTCAGCGCAGTCAACCAGGAACACTGGATTTACTAATTTACTTATTTTGAGCGAGCCTGCATGTTTGCTATCACGTGACAACTTCGGGTGGCATCCTTCAGTCACTGGCCACATGTTTTTGTTGTTTTGTTTTGAGACAGGGTATCCCATTGGTCAGGACCTCACCAAGCTGGCTAGCAAGTCTGGGGATCCCCCTGGCTCTACCTCTCCTGCGTGGGGACCCCAGGCACACAGACCTGATTTCTCATAGGTTTTACCTGCGTTCTAAGGAATCAGACTCCAAGCAGGTTAATGTTCTCTGACTGCTCTGAAGTCGTTCTCTCAGGGAAGCCCGCCAGGGAGTGAGGGAGCATGGGAATTTATGCCAGCCTGCCCCCACAAGAGGATATCACTCTCATTGATCTGGAACTACTCCCCCTCCCCCCACCAAGCACATTTCCCATAAGTCCCTTCTGCCCCCTCTACTCTTCTGGAAGCTTTACTCAGTTTGTTCTTCGCTCTTGTCTGCCCAGTTCCAACAGAGCCTGGACTTTCTGTTTCTCCTCTTCTCCCTTAATGTCTCTTACCCTCTCTTCCCCTCCCCTCCCCTGCTTCTCCCTTCCCTCCCCGCAACTTTCCTTTCATCCCCCTTCCCCT